TGCAACAATGTGGATGGAATTAGAGGGTATTATGCTAAGTGAAATAAGTCAGTCAGAGAAAGACAGATATCCTACGACTTCACTCATATGTGGGATTTGAGAAATAAAACGGGTGAACATATGGGAAGGGGAGGAAAAATAAGATAAAAACAGAGAGGGAGACAAACCAGAAGAGACTCTCCAACACAGAGAACTGAGGATTGATGGAGGGGTGGTGGGTGGGGGGATGGGCATTAAGGAGGACACTTGTTGGGATGAGCACTGGGTGTCCTATGTAAGAGATGAGTCGCTGGGTTTTACTCCTGAAGCCAAGACTACACTGGATGTTAACTAACTTGAATTTTTTTAAAAAACAGAAATCTTTAAAAAACAAGACTACCGTAAGTTTTAGAGTTAGGGAGGTCACTACAAAGAAACTACAGAAGTATTAGAAGTGGATGTTTCTAGGGGCGCCTGGGTGGCGCAGTCGGTTAAGCGTCCGACTTCAGCCAGGTCACGATCTCGCGGTCCGTGAGTTCGAGCCCCAGGTCACGATCTCACGGTCCGTGAGTTCGAGCCCCGCGTCAGGCTCTGGGCTGATGGCTCAGAGCCTGGAGCCTGTTTCCGATTCTGTGTCTCCCTCTCTCTCTGCCCCTCCCCCGTTCATGCTCTGTCTCTCTCTGTCCTAAAAATAAATAAACGTTGGGAAAAAAAATTAAAAAAAAAAAAAAGTGGATGTTTCTAGGAAGTGAGACCCGGAGAGCAGTGGTGGTAAAATGTTCCTTTTAATTATAAACCCCTTTTCTGCTATGTTGTTAGCTATATATATTTATTTATGATAAAAATAAAAAGCACGTAAGTACTGAAGGAAGGGAAGGGACAAGATGGGCAGGCAGAGGAGGAGAAGATGTGTCCCTTTGTTGAAATGGATTTTTTAAGCGGCACTTACCCGTCGTCTTCTGAGGTTTTATTCCTTTTCTCTTTGACTTTATCACCAGTTCTCTTTTCTCTCTCTCTAATTTCTCCCTGATACACCTTGTCTCCGATGAGCCTGAAACACAAGAGACAGCCCTGCTACCGGCCTCCAGTTCCAAGTCAAATTCAAACATGGATCTCATAACCATGACATCCCCAGAAAATATTTTTATGTGACTCTCAGATATGCAGAAAGAACGCATTCCAGGCCGGGGCTCTACCTTGAATCATTCATTTCATTCTGGGGCAATTTCCAACAGGTCGAAATAGGCAGGTCTGGCCCATGGCGCCTCTGGGATTCTCCAGGAGGACATCAGACCAATTTCCACGAAGATTCGCCAGCCTGAATCTTACCCAGGCCCCAAATTAAACCCCCAAACCTACTCTACTTTGCATGTCTTTACCCCTTAGCTCAGAAGAAAAGAAGAAATACGGTTTATGTCACATATCAGAGGGTTCACACTGCCTCACTGTTCAGATCTCAACTTAAACATCGCCTCTTGTAGGCCGCCTCCCTGATTTCTCCCTGCCTACACAAGCCCCTCTCCGTCCTTCCTGCCGTCCCTAAGCACTCGCTACGGTCTAAAATTGTCTCATCCACTGACTGGTTTCCTTATTATTTCTCCCAAGGCAATTTCTGCAGCCGAACAACACTGCCTTTTTCTCAGAAATCTACTGATCACTTTGAAGAGTTCCTGGCCCAGAGTGGGCACCCGTTTGTTGGAGGGAAGGAGAGAAAGACAGAGGAATGGGGAAATGGAAGCAGGGAAGAAGACAGGAACAGAATGAAAAAAGGGATCATGGGAGGGAAGGGGGAAGAAAGGGTGGAAGGGAGAGAGAAAGGGGAGAATGAAGGTAGGGAAGGAGAGAGAGGAGGGAGTCAACCTGCTGAGCCGTATACATCTGCTGGGATAAATTCTCACGCCAGAAGGCTGTGGACCCCACATCCTGGCAGACTCACCCTGGCCGCTGCCACCCACCCACACACACACACACACACACACACACCCCTCCATCTCAGCGTCTCCGATCAGAGTATCGCTTACATAGTGAAGTTGGTGATGAATGCCGCAGCCGGAACCTTCATCTGAAACTCAATCTCCTGGTCCTCAGAAGCTCTATTCAGCATTCTACAGGAGACCGTGGTGAAGGCGTAACGGGAAATGATGGTGGACTTCACCGAGAATTCTGTCATTAAGGGCTTGGTTTTCTGTTGGAAGGGAAACACGCAGTGTTTTCAGTGCCGTGTGAAAGTGCGAGAAATACTCTCTAATTGAGGAGGCTGTGGCGTGTGATTCCCTTCTCCTTTCCTTGTCTTGTCCTGACTTTCCCACTCACAAAGTAACCGTGGTTGAACAACCAGTTGGTGACACGGAAGCACGCTTTTAACCTAACTTGAAGAAGTGAACACGGGGCACCTGGGTGGCTCAGTCGGTTAAGCGTCCGACTTCAGCTCAGGTCATGATCTCGCCGTTTGTGAGTTCGAGCCCCGCGTCGGGCTCTGGGCTGACAGCTCAGAGCCTGGATCCTGCTTTGGATTCTGTGTCTCCCTCTCCCTCTGCCCCTCCCCTGCTCACGCTCTGACTCTCTCTGTCTTTCAATAATAAATAAATGTTAAAAAAAAAAAAAAGAAGTGAACACAGTTAGGATTTCCAATTTAACAGAGAATATACATGGCTTAACTAGTCCAAAAAGTAGTGGAATTTCAGAAATGAAGTATATACTGTTATCCACTTTTAGATCACATTGACAGGATCATGAAGTGATGAAAACGTCAGAGGCTACCTAAAACAATTCTCATATTTTCAAGTTAAATTCAATATCCTGCTTTCCTCCTGAGACGACAATCACAGGACTGCAAAGTGGGAATCGATACCGAGCTCGAGAAAGTATTGGGGGAACGAGAACCCAGAAAAAGGAAAGTGTAGGCTAATTAAATTTGTCCCCAAAGTCTCTGATGAGAGTGCTCGCTACACGGAGATTGAAAAGCTGGTTAAACTTTTCGGTGTATTTCTAGCCTTCCCAGCAGCGCTCCATCTGACCACAGCTGGAGCTGAAGAGGTTAAGGAAACATGAATGGGGAAAGTTGGCTGGTGGCAGAGTGGTTCTCTAACTCCAAGAACTGGCTGAGCAACTCCCAGGCATGCTATGGACTCCGTGTTTGAGTCTCCCCCAACCACCCCCCACCCTGCAGATTCATGTGGTGAAGCCCTACCCCCCAATATGATGATACTTGGGGATGTGGCCTTTGGGTGTGATTTGGTTAGATGAGGTCACGAGGACCTTCACGATGGGGTTAGCCACGGGAGGGCCCGCTCTCACTCTCCACGCGTACACCAAGAAAAGACTGTGTGAATGAGAACGTGGCCACCTACGAGCGAGGAAGAGAGTCCTCCCCAGGAAATGAACCCTGACAGATACCGATCTTAGACTTTCCAGCCTCCAGAACAGCGAGAAAATAAATTTCTGTTGTTTAACACCAGTCTATGGTATTTTGTAATGGCAGCCCAAGCGGACCAAGACATCATCTCATGATAGGCTTGGACACACATGCGAAGCAGGCGTTTTTTATTCCCATTTCATACGTGAGAGGAAGTCAAGCCTGTGAGTCGACCCTCTGGCTCACCAGGCATTAATGGAAATGAGACTTGAACTCCACCCCGCCTGCTTCAGGCACCACCATGATGCGAGGCTGCCTCTCTGGATGGGTCTTTCTATCTCGGTGTGCTCAAACCCCAGCACGGTCCTCAGTGTGCAGCGGGCTGTCAATAAATGCTGAATGGAGCCAGGTTACTCTGCTAGGATCCTACTTTCCCCTACCGGCATCGTCCTGCCCAGTCGATGTGTACTTCAACCTTCCTCTGCTCTCTCGATTGCTTTCCAGCGCTGAGCTAGTTTTCAAAATAAATACAAGATGATGGCCTGCTGATATCCAAGCATATTGCCCCGTGAGAGACAAAGATAATCTTTAACCCCATTTCAAAAGAGTTTCACAGAGTGTTGTTCTGTTTAAACGTATTTAAAGGGCATGCCCTTCACAGCAAACCATCCAAAGCTGGAGAGGTATTCCATATGATATGTTAGAGAGGTAAGACTTTGCACTCTGAAACAAAGCACATTTGAGAACACCCACGAACACCCACAAGATGGGGTGCTGCATGGAACAGAGCCACACAGGGGCCCGGCCAGAATGGGTGACTACTGGGTGCAGAGGTCAAGGGGTTATTCGTCCTTGTGGCTGAACTTCGGGTCCTGGTGACATAAAAGGGTCAAAACAAACGGCACGAGGTGCAGGAAAGATGTTACGAGAGCGTGTAGCTGTCTTAGAAAAGCAGAAAAAGATAAACATATAGGTTCAGTGAAGTGATCATCGGGTAGAGAAAGAACTCTAAACATACTTGAAACATTCTTCCCCTGCAAGAGGAAAGGAAGGTCTCCGACCTGGTCTGAGAAGGAATGACATCAAAGCAGTGGTTCCCAAAGTGTGGTCCCAGAACTACCACCATTAGCATCGCCTGGAAACTGATTAAAAATGCAGAATCTCAAACCCCGTCCCAAACTTGCGGAATCGGAAACACAGGGGACGGAGCCAGAAACCTGTATTTTGACAAGCCTTCCAAGTGGTCTGATGGTCGAGTCTGAAACCACTGATTTATTTATTTATTTTTTTTAACGTTTATTTATTTTTGGGACAGAGAGAGACACAGCACGAACGGGGGAGGGGCAGAGAGAGAGGGAGACACAGAATCGGAAGCAGGCTCCAGGCTCTGAGCCATCAGCCCAGAGCCTGACGCGGGGCTCGAACTCGTGGACCGCGAGATCGTGACCTGAGCTGAAGTCGGACGCTTAACCGACTGAGCCACCCAGGCGCCCCATGAAACCACTGTTTTAAATAGGAAGAAGTGGACCTCTTCATATATTTCCTTATCTATAAGAGGGCCTGAATAAGTCACTAAAATTACACTCGCCTCTGAGATCCAAGAATCTGAGGCAAAGCTAACTTGAGGAACAGGGACATGTGGGTGGCTCACTGGGTTAAGCGTCTGCCTGTGGCTCAGATCATGATGTCAGGGTTCGTAGGTTCCAGCCCCGCACTGGGCTCTCAGCTGTCGGCACACAGCCCACTTCAGATCCTCTGTCCCCTCTCTCTCTGCTTCTCCCCCACTGAGCTCTCTTTCAAAAATAAATAAACATTTTAAAAAATCTTGAAAAATAATGGTGATACTCAAAAAAAAAAAATAAAGTAAGGAATAAAACACTGGGTTTTAGGAAACCATTCCTGAACTTAGAAATACTTGATTGTAAATAGTCTTCATGAAAATTTAGTCTCTTGGGGCACCTGGGTGGCTCAGGCAGTTGAGCGTCCCACTTTGGCTTAGGTTGTGATCTCACAGTCCATGAGTTCGAGCCCCGTGTCGGGCTCTGTGCTGACACCCCAGAGTCTGGAGCCTGCTTGGGATTCTGTGTCTCCCTCTCTCTCTGCCCCTTCCCCACTCATGCTCTGTCTCTGTCTCTCAAAAATGAATAAGGTTAAACAAAACAATTTTTTTTAAAAACAAAAAATTTAGTCTCTTTAGGACACTATTGCTCTCTCCTCAAGTGATTTGGATTAAAAAGAGATTCTAGGGGGGCGCCTGGGTGGCGCAGTCGGTTAAGCGTCCGACTTCAGCCAGGTCACGATCTCGCAGTCCGTGAGTTCGAGCCCCGTGTCGGGCTCTGGGCTGATGGCTCAGAGCCTGGAGCCTGTTTCGGATTCTGTGTCTCCCTCTCTCTCTGCCCCTCCCCCGTTCATGCTCTGTCTCTCTCTGTCCCAAAAATAAATAAACGTTGAAAAAAAAAGTAAAAAAAAAAAAAAAAAAGAGATTCTAGATGTGGTTTAACCAAATGCTTCTGTTAACATGTACCATGTTTCAGTAAAGACAATGTGAATTAGGCTGGGGAAGGTATTAATGACGATGAACCTAAGAGCACAATAACCTGCTGGGTTTTCTCCTAATGAAAATTTGTATCTTCTCCTCTTTCCAAAATGGAATTTGTCTTATCCAAGATAAATTAAACCGTAAATTGAGAAGCAGTGTCTTACTTTGATTTAGGTTTCCCTGGAAATAGGTTTTCTTCCTAAATAGTCCATGTTTCAACATATTCTTTGATCTCCAATATCCTCATATTCTCATACAAGTGAATTTGTGAAGAGTCTAAAATCCCACTGCACACAGCTCTAATTTCTATAGATGCACCGGATAAAGGAACCAATGTTAAAAAAAATCCTGTGAACTCAGAAAATTCTAGCTCTCATTCTCCACTTTATTTGAAATGTAAACTAGGGGTGCCTGCGTGGCTCAGTCGGTTGAGCGTCCCCCTCCTGGTTTCAGCTCAGGTCATGATCTCACGGTTCATGGGTTCAAGCCCCACACTGGGCTCTGCACTGATGGCACAGAGGCTGCTTGAGATTCTCTCTCTCTCTCTCTCTCTCTCTCTGGCCCTCCCCCACTCTATCTCTCTCTCCCTCAAATAAATAAAAACTTTTTTAAAAAGTTGACAAAAAATTTCAACATTAAAAAAATGTAAACTAGTTTTTAAAAAAGTATCAAGTAACATCTGTACATGGTAAAAACTTCAAATTACACAGAAAATAAAAGGAAACACAATGGTCTCCCTCCCACCCTGGATCTACAGTTCTGTTCCCCAGAAGCAATATGTAGATTAACAGTTTCTTGGTGTATCCTTCCATAAATACATGCTGTATTGATTTGCTTTAATTTCACTTAATGATACAGTGTATTCATCTTTCTGTATCTGTGCATGTTCCAATTATCTAATGCTGCACATCCGACCACTCTAAAACTTAGTGGTTTAATAGCAACCATGGCATTTTCTCCTGTGGTTTCTGTGGTCAGGAATTCTAGAAAGGCTTGGCCGGTGGGGGCGGGGGCAGTCAGAAGGTGGCTGGGGCCGAAACAATGGGCCCCTGAAGCAGCTCGGGACCGAATGGCATCTGTCTCATGTCGTCCCAGGGCCCCTCTATGCGATCCTTCCACATGATCAAGTTCAGACTACCTCACACGTCAGTCAGGCTGATGGCATGGTAGCTAGAGGCTTCATGAGTGTGCATTTCCCAACATCAAGGTGGAAGCGACATCCCCTCCTTCGCTCTCACCCTGAAACTCACGTGGCATCGTTTCCACCATACTCTACTGGGCAAAGGAGTCACAAAGGTATGTTCTTTTTGTTTTGTTTTTTTTTTCAACGTTTATTTATTTTCGGGACAGAGAGAGACAGAGCATGAACGGGGGAGGGGCAGAGAGAGAGGGAGATACAGAATCGGAAACAGGCTCCAGGCTCTGACCCATCAGCCCAGAGCCCGAAGCGGGGCTCGAACTCACGGACCGCAAGATCGTGACCTGGCTGAAGTCGGACGCTTAACCGACTGCGCCACCCAGGTGCCCCGGTATGTTCTATTTGAAAGGGAGAGAGCCCAGACCCAATCTCAATGGGAGGAGTGGAGTCTCAAAGTGCCACTATCTTTGAAAAATGCAATCTGCCACCGTCCAGAACGATCACCCTCATTCTTTTAACAGTTGCACAGTATTTTCTTTTTTACAGATGCACTATATTTTATTTTATTCTTAAATTTATTTGAGAGAGAGACAGTACACACATGAGTGAGGGAGGGACAGAGAGAGAGAATCCCAAGCAGGCTCCACACTGTCAGCACAGAGCCTGATGCGGGGCTCAATCTCACGAATCATGAGATCACAACCTGAGCCAAAATCAAGGGTTGAACGCTTAACTGACTGAGCCACTGAGGCACCCCGAGATGCACTACATTTTCATTAACCAGCCCCTATTTTATCCACCAACCCTTTATAATTATTTTTCATGATTGTTTGAAATGCTCATGCTCTGATTCATCAATACCAGGGGTCAACAAACTATGGCAGGCAGGCAGGCCACAGGGGTTTTGTACATAAAGTCTTATTTGAACATAAATTCTTTTACATCCATTCATCTGCATACCGTCTGGAGTTATTTTCATGCTACAGTGTAGAGCAGTTACGCAGTCACATATCTGTGACACGCTACAGCCTTACTTACAAAGCCTGAAGTACCTCTTACCTACTCCTTTAAGTAAAAGTTTGCTGATGCCTGGTCTGCACTATTTAAAAAAAATTGCTTAACATTTATTTATTTTTGAGAAGAGAAAGACAGAGCATGAGCGGGGGAGGAGAGAGAAAGAGGGAGACACAGAATCTGAAACAGGCTCCAGGCTCTGAGCCGTCAGCACAGAGCCCGACGTGGGGCTCGAACTCACAGACTGCGAGATCATGACCTGAGCCGAAGTCGGATGCTTAACCAAATGAGCCACCCAGGCGCCCCTGGTCTGCACTATTTAAAACAGGTAAAGCCCTGATATCAGTCATTTACATACCTTTACTGATTGGTGTGTTTTAGGAAGAAATCTTAAATTATACAGACCACACTTTTACCTGACTTGCACAATCTTTTAAAATTTTTCATGTAGGTGACAACATTTAAAAATTAGGGGCGCCTGGGTGGCTCAGTGGGTTGAGCGTCCAACTTTGGCTCAGGTCATGATCTTGCTGTTCCTGAGTTCAAGCCCCCTGTCGGACTCTGTGCTGACAGCTCAGAGCCTGGAGCCTGCTTCAGGTTCCGTGTCTCCCTCTCTCTCCCTGCCCCTCCCCTGCTCATGCTCTGTCTCTCTCTCTCAAAAATGAATAAACTTAAAAAAAAAAATTTTTAAACTGGAAAGTTCACATAAAAATCCAGAACTCTCACATCTCTTGGAACAGACGCTGGGGCAACTCTGGATGTACATTCCCCCATGACCGTGACTAACAGTGGCTGTGGCTTTAGATCAGACCCAAATCCCATAGTCCCGGCTCCCCACGCCTACTGACTCACGGACACTGGCCCTGAGTAGCCACGTTCGCTGTGTTTTTACTAGAAGTGTTCTTATTCCAAGCCTGTTTTGCTCGCTAGTCTCCTCTGTTCTACTAGATTAAAAATGGCCACAACTTGTACACCTATGTTGAGAGCACCATTTTTCACAACAGCCAACGTGTGGAAGTTACCCAAGTGTGCACTGGCCGACGGAGAGAGAAACAAAATGTGCTTTACGCACACGATGGTGTATTACTCAAAAAAAAGGGAAGGAAATCCTGCCATACGCTACAACACGGATTAATTTTGACAGCACTATGCTAAGTGAAATAAATCAGCCACAGAAGGACGAATCTTGTGTGGTTCGCTTGTATGAATTACGTGCAGCCACCAAAGTCACCGAGACAGAAAGGAGGAAGGCAGTTTCCAGGGGCTGGGAGGAGGGGGAACGGGGAGTTTTATGCGAGGGTACAGAGTTTCGGTTCTGCAAAATGAAAAGAGTTCTGAAAATGGACGGTGGAGCTGTATGATGCGTGAATATACTTCATACCGCCGCACCGTCCACTTTATAACGGTTTAGAAGTTAAATTTTACATGATGTGTATTTTAATACAGTAACAACAAAATGTTAAAGATTTCCTGATGGCCCAAATTCTTGGCTTTTCTTGCCATGGAGAGGTGCGTTTTAATTCATTTATCTTTTGATTCTGGGTCTTAGTGGCTTGTTTCACTTACAGAACACACACCAGAAGCGATGTTCTGGGACTCTGAGGCCAGGCCACAGAGAAACCTCGCCGCTTGGATGCAGGCGTTCCAGAACTCTCCTCGAGGCCCTGAGTCACCAGGTCGGACAGAGCCCGTCACGCCGGAAAGGCCGGGCGTGACCACTGCAGGCGACAGGAGCAGCCAAGGCCAACTGCTGCCCAGGGGCACAGAGGCCGAGGACATAAACCTTCCGGCTCGGCCCACCTGCCAGCTGAGCGGCCGCCATTGACATCGCGCGGCCAACACAATCATCAGGCTGAGCTCTACCTCAGTCCCTGCCCCACAAACAGTACGACAGAGTGATTGCTGCTTTAAGCCACTGGGTTTGTGGAAGATCTTTACGCAGCAATAGAAGCTGAGCACCTGATCGCTACGCATTTTTTTTGTTTTCTTTTGTGAACTTGTGCCTATTAGAAACACCCCTGAGATGGGGCGCCTGGGTGGCGCAGTCGGTTAAGCGTCCGACTTCAGCCAGGTCACGATCTCGCGGTCCGTGAGTTCGAGCCCCGCGTCGGGCTCTGGGCTGATGGCTCAGAGCCTGGAGCCTGTTTCCGATTCTGTGTCTCCCTCTCTCTCTGCCCCTCCCCCGTTCATGCTCTGTCTCTC